TGCTGAAGGAGTTCGTATTCAAGAATTACTGATAGTCTCAAAACCTACTTGTATCAAAACTAAGAAATCGGGTGAGGTGCCGACAGCTTACGATACAAATAAGATTTGTCTTCTACAATTCTTTCTAATCAAGCATATGGGAGGTATTCACTCTATTCCGCTTAAGGTGATAAAGGGCTGGTAGTCAAAATTTCCCATAATCATATGTCTCATATTTTCAGTGAATTTCACATAGCCTTATTTTCCCAAAGGGGCCCTCTCATTTAGGGTGGACTAAAGTTTCTACCTCGTCTAGGTGTCTTCGGCACCCCTAGTGGGATTGAAACCTGGACAGTGCAAGATATGGCTTCGACAGATTAACCACAATGTCACGAGTGTCATTGGGTCACGAGGCAGAAGTGAATTTATCGGAAGTTCATACATTTTCCACATCAGATTTCTGTGGTTGGATTGTCGACGAAGCAAAGTTTTATTTGCTATTATGATAATTAACATTAGTTATTTTTCGTCTAGAACTAGGATTCAAGACTTGTAGATAATATTATGATATACATTAACGCTGTCGTTTAAGGTAATGAAGGACTGGTAGTTTAATTTTCAACAATGATATGAGTAGGCTTTTACTATAAGCCTGGTATCAACAGGGACACTATTAGTTTTCATTTTTGGTGACGACATTTACATGCTTATGGGTCAGTTTTCGAAAAGTAGTGCTGAAAAGGCCTGGTTTGCCTTAAAAGTCTCAAGACAACCGGGCCCACCTGGTAAGCGTCAAAATTTCAAAGTTGTCACCTGATGTGCACGACCAATCCTCGAATATTTTTAGGGTCAAAACTGTGGTTTAGCCTGAAAGAGATAGTCCTTTTGGAAGTAAGGCTATGTGAAATCTAAATGTATCCTGAGATAAATGCATTTTCTGTGTTGAATTTAACTATCATTGTACATACGATGTGAAATAATGTTAAATGAATATCCCGAGATAAAATTGCTGTTGCGACATTCCTTAAGGGTGAATATCCTTGATAAAGCAATTCGTAGGGAAATATCTACACAAAAACGCATGTGATTCCCATTGCTCTCTATTCGTTAATTTTATTATGTTGTTCTGGTTGGCGCCGTCAAAGAAACATCCTCTTTTCGTTCACGTAAAAGCAGACTAGATACGAAGATCACACATTTGGAGAGACTTTCATTTTGCGTGAAAGTGCATGTAGAAGAGACTAGGAGGTCGATCGCAGCTTTCCCCATTGGGTGATTCCCGATGAACCTCAGCCGTTTGGCTTCAATACGAAGTTCAGGTTGATGAACTCTACGAGACATTCTCTCTCGATTTGGGCATAAACGAGCTGAGCTTGCATCCAGCATATAATAGACATCAACAAAGCTGAAACTCATTCTTGTAAAAGTCCTACGTTAAGATTAGGTCAAGAAGTCTATATGGATTTATCTCGCCTATTATAGATGCTTCGTTTGCTGTAGGTTTTCGGGATATCGTCGATTGCTAGAATAAATATAAGTCTGCTTCATCGGCAATCCCACCACATAATGTGATATAGGAAAACACCTGTCGCTGAAATTCACATCTGCCCTGTGGCACAAGATCACTCATAGAAAGGTGACGTTATGGTCAACATGTCGAGATTATAAGCTACATTGTCGTGGTTTGAGTCTCGCTGAGGATGCTGAAAAGACCTAGGCGAGGTCGAAGCAGGAGCCCATCCTTGAGGAGAATACCCTTTGGGAAAGCAGGGCTATGTGAAATACAATGGAAATGCAAGGTCTACTTATATCAATGTATGAAAAATGTAACTATCCACTTATCATCTTAAACGAATTGGCGTTGATACAGCTCTCATCACTCATATATACTCTCAAATAAAATACGGAAATGAATAGGCGTAGACAGATACGCAGTCCACCCTGGATGAGAAGAACTTTGAGGAAAGCAAGGCTATGTGTAATTCAATGGAAACGTCAGCTAAGCTCATACCATTGTGGGAAAATTCTTCTACCAGTCCTTATCACCTTGAACGAAATTAGATGAATACATCTCATATTACTTAATGCGAAAAATAAAGATACGGAATGGTTTGGCTACTTTTGCTCGAATGTGTGTGCGTGTGTGTGTGTCTATACGTCTATACGCAATAAAGGCTCTAAATCAGAGTAATTAAAGTATCCTAATGTCAGGCTCTGGTCATCAAGACTTAATGACTCAAGAAAAAGCCTTCTTTTTGACGGCGA